GTGTGAGTTGATGATATACAGAACCAGAATTGGACTTTACAATTTCTCCAGATTCTTGAGGGGTGAAGTGAGGACATCTGCAGGGAAAAATAGTGAACAAGGTACAGGTAAACTTACCTTTGTTCTTACCTGTGTTACAGTAGGTATTATACTGGCTCTTAGTGAATGGCCAGTCAGCCATGACAGAACTTTTAATGAGGAGTTTACCCTTGTTGGATCCCCAACAGTACTACCTGACTTTGTTTATATGCAAAGCACAGTTACAGATTATAAGACTGGGAACAAACTTACTCATTTCTAAAATGGAAATATTGAAAATGTGAAAACTGACCATTTCAAATTACCAGCTGGGTTACGGCTCTGTTCTTGGAATATACGAAGTTTGTACAATAAGATTGGTGAACTATCAATACACTTAGTAAAACATCCAATTGACATTCTTTGATTTAAGAAACTTGGCTTTCTTCTGCTATCTTCAGTGAGGAAATCAGCATTGCATGCTACAGTGTTGAACGTGCTGATCGTCCAAATGACGATAGGCACGGCGGTGTAGCGACATATATTAAATCTTATATATACCCTACACTAGACGAAATGACCTTGAATTGTTTAACATTGAAGAGCTATGTGTACAATTAAATTTTGAAAATTCCAGACCAATCATCATAGTAAATATCTACAGACCGACAAATTGTGAGTTGAGACTTTGGTTAAACAATTATGAAAATTTTATTGGAAAATATGGAACTGATAATAATGGGTGATTTCAATGTAAACATTCTGAATGAAAAAGAAAATCTGTGTGATCTTACAGACTTGATGGAAAACCTTCATGATCTACAGTCTTCTTTTGACAAACTTAAGCAATATGTGTCAGCAAAATTGACAACAGGTTACAAATTTTCCATCCCAGATGTTTCAGCTGAATTTGTAATTTCCTGAAATCTTTAGATGAAAAGAAGGCTGTAGGTGCTGACAGTGTTAATGCTAAGCTGCTGAAGCTTGTTCATAATCAGGTAGCACCTTCACTGACATATATTATAAATCTTAGTATAAGAACATGTGAATTTCCTGAGCATTGGAAAATGGTCAAAGTAATTCCTTTGTATAAAAGTGGTAAGTCTGCTGATTTTGATAATCATAGGCCAATCTTTGTTTCACCCATTTCATCTAAGATATTGGAAAGGCATGTACATACTCATTTTTACAAGTTTTTAAATAAACACATGCTCATTGTCTCATCGCAGTCTGGTTTTAGAGAAAAAACATTCGTGTGAAACAGCCATGTTAAATATTGTTAAATCTTGGGCCAAAAATATTGATGATGGGCTTTTCACATGTGAAATTTTTGTAGATTTTAAGAAGGTCTTTGATTAAGTTAATCATTCTGTTTTGTAAGAAAAGCTTAAATCATATGGATGTAATGAAAGCTCATTATCCTGCTTTGAATCATATCTTTCAGATAGAACACAAAAAGTCTGTCTGGTACTCTGTCGGAAACAAATAACATTACACATGGTGTACCACAAGGTTCAATCTTAGGCCCATAACTATTTTTGACATGTTTAAATGTTTTATCTTTATCCGTTGTTACAAATACCGAAATGTATGCTGACTGTTCCAGTTTCCATTATGCCAGTCAATCCTTAGAAGATATGCAAAATGTTTTGCAGACAGATTTAGAAAATGTAACAAATTTGGGTATATTGAAAACAAATTGATTGTAAATGCCAAAAAAACATAATGTATGATTGTTGCTTTAAAACAGAAACTTTCCAGGACTACAGATTGTAAACATAGCCTGAAACTTGGTGACACTGAATTAGAACAAGTAGAAAATGAAAACCTTTTAGGTGTACATCTGGATTATTGTTTGCCAAGGAAAAGTCATGTTGACAAAGCAGTTTCTAAAATTAGAAAATGCTTAGGTTTGTTAAGGCATATACGTTCCTATCTTTCCATCCAAGAAAGAATTATTTTCCCCCTTTTATTTATTGCTGTACTGTATGGTCTGGATGTGATGCAAATCATATGGGTAAATTATATAAAGCCCAGAAACAGGCAGAAAGAGTTATACTTAATGTGCCATATGATACACCTTCCTCTGATATGTCTTCTGTTTTAAAATGGCTTCCAATTAAAAAATATTTTAAATTCAAGAGAATATGCATGTTTTACAAATGCATTCATAGATTGGTGCCAGATTACTTAAGCCACAATATCAAACTTGCTCATAATGAACACAGAAGATGTACCAGGTTCGTTCTCCGTGGCAAATAATGTTATTGTTCCTAAGCACAGAACTACATTTTACTCAAAACATTTTTTTTATAACTGGTGCTCAGGACTGAAATAGCCTAACCAGTCTGTTAAAAGATATTCAAAATTATAATTATTTTAGAGACCAACTAGTTAATTAATTTTGGAATTCTTAACTGTTCTTTTTAATGCAAATTTTCCTTTTTAATCTATGCTATATTAGCGTATATCCTGGTAATTTTTACTTTTCTGGCATATATGTATATACGGCTTAAAGTCATTTAATTGACAAATCAAGTTAGCACAAATATGTGTTTATGCTATCTGTTATAATCTTTATTAATACTGACTGTGATATGTTATAATGTCTTTCACTATTATAATTTTGTATGTATTTTAGTATATGATTGTGATATCATGTTTTACTAATGAATGAGTAATATTTACTTACTTGAAGACCATGGGGTAGAATAGCCTTTGGCGAAACATGTATTATCCTCTTTAAATAAAGTACATTATTATTATTATTATTATTATTATTATTATTATTACACGATTATAAGCAAATTTTAAGGAGTGGTATTATATAATTGTACAGGTATAACTGCCATAACTTTCCCAGTTTTTTACAGGCTTGCATTTTCCCAAATTTTGTACATTTCTGTATTATTTGGTCAAGATGTTCTGGAAATTTAATGTGTAAGCTCCTGAAGGCTCAGAAACAAGCAGCCAGAATGATTATTTAGATACTCTTTCCAAAGACATGTTTGGAATTTAACTATGATTTTCATGAAGTCCCTGACTACTTATCCAGTGATGTATCGTTTTACAAAAGAGCTACAAGATATGCCTGTGATAATAACAAACACAAAACTGTTTTTTTTCCTTTTTTTTTTTTTTTTTTTTTTTTTTTTTTTTTTTTTTTTTTTTTTTTTTTTTGTTTTTTTACACAATTCACTTTTCTTATCCACTATTAAAGACTGGAATGGTTACCTCATGAGTTTAAGGAGACCAACTGTTTTATCACATTCAAAAAACTAGTCAAACATTAACTTGAGTTTGGTCAACTTACCAGATAATGTCTCCTTCAAAGAGTTGACAATGTATGCTGTGCATTTTATATTGAGTATTTATATTTTTCTATTATTTTTCCCCAAAATCTTGTTTCCACTTACACATTTATATATATATATTTATATATTACTAATAAGAGGACCATGTGTTAGATAAGCAGTTGGCTTATTATCATCATATTCCTGTTGAAGATAAGGTGATGATACAACGTGTTTTGTCAAATTGAAGATAAACCCTGTAGTATTCTTCAATCCAATCTAAAATTTATAACATTAAAGTATACATAATTTAATGCTTTATTGACTTTTTTGGAATTTGTGCTATTGTAACAAATCCGATGTAATCTCATATATGGACATGATCTTGTTTCGTCAAAATAGGGCACAACGCATTAACTAGGGCACGTTGCAATAGAAATCGATGCCGACAAATGTTACTATCGTCACTTGTATGACAAATAAATCAACCCTGACGTGCTACAATGTCATTGTATTGCCACCAATTGTCTTAATATTCTCGTTAAAACAAATATATTGCAAAACGGGAAAATATCATGTAGGAGACGACACACATAACAGTCCTTCTAAGGACATTTCCAAGAACAAGGAGAACACCGAGACAAATATAGCCCGTATGGTAGACTTCTGTGTAATATTACAGAATTTTTATTTGTATAAAACAAAAATGATCTTGGAAATAGTAACGAAAATAGGACACTCTGGCAAAGTTCTAATCAACCCACATGAGGTCATGAACAACGTATCTCTTCACTATAAACACATACGACAACAAATAACAAAAAAACCATTTAATGAAACGGGAGGACTTTTTAGCTGATCAAAACGTGTACACCACCATACTCCATTCTAAACTGGGCGAATTATTTCGTTCTTATGAGAAAGGTGAACGGTTGTACAAACATGGTTGTGAACTATACTGAAGTGTATTCGTGAAAAATGCATTCAAACACAGAAGAAAGTCCATACATAGGACTCATAAAAACCATCAAGTTTCTGAGAGAGAGATGATTTGCTGTCATTTTATTTATTTTTATTTTACTAATAAGGTATTGAAACCTCTATACAATTTCAACTGATAAATGTGCTCGGAAGAGCCACTTAGTTTTACACCAACTTGTCCTATTTTCAAAAAAAAAATGTAGATTCACATTGCAGTTGATAATCAGACTACACCGATCATAACTAAGAATATATCCAACTTGATTGTCTACATATAGCTTTGTTTTCTAATTAACAAAACATGGTGGTTGTATCGCTTAGTGGTGCTAACTTGACAAATACAGTCATGGTATTAAGCTTGTCCCAAATACAATGATATTGTTGAGTCTTGTCTCAACAATTTACTGTAGTCAATATGTAACCGACAAACTATTCAAAACAAACCACCAAATATATTTACACATCTATAGCAATTAAATATCCATGGTTTTAGTGCATGTTTCAATGTCACTATCAAAGAAAGTCAATGTAATGTCTAGTTATAAATTACAGTTGTTCTTATACCGACTATACAGTTAACAGTGTTTAGTTCTGTTGTAATATGTTGGTCACACATATGTCATACTGTAAGACCTACATTACTTACTGTTGTCTAGCCGTGCCTTATCTGTGGTGTACATATACGTAGCGGAACTCCTTTACACCAATATGGAATCGTTTTTGTGGATGTTTCTTATCGTGTGTACTGTTTCTGCTACTGAAGACTACAAACGCGTAGCATCATGTGATCCTAACTATTTGCACGACCTGGAATCAAAAGTACAAAGTATGCTGTCGTCTGTCTCGTCTTTAACGGCCAAAGTGACAGCACAACATAACACCATAATCCAACTTACGACCAAGACAACTGCATTAGGTAATGCTTTTAATATACATATGTGACAACACCACATAATAAGGTGTGCGATTTTTTTTAAGTAAAGATAAGTTGTACTTTAAGCCAAAAGCCCAAGTCAGAGAAATAATGACCATTTTTCGTGTCACGTTTTAGGCCATTCCAATAGTGACACGGTTCAGAATATACATATGTACATGTACATGACATTCTTCGTAAATTATCAGATGTATGGAAATTACGACATTCTTGATTTGCATGGCAAATGCAACCCCAGATTTTGGCATTTTTGCGATTTGCCTCCACGCCCCATACGGTTCCAATTTAAGCTCTTAGCATCACTGACACGTCTCATAAGGAGGAAACAGCTGTATGATGCGGTTTTGATAATTAAATTGCTCTGCTTAATTTAATTCTTAATTTACATGAAATAGTGCTATTAGTTTATGTATTTTGTGCAATCTTTATCGCTACTAGTAGTGGAAGACTGCAAAGAAGGTTTTAACTACATTTGACTTGAAGCATACTTGAATGAAGACAAGTAAGTTTTGTATAAACATGGCATCTTCTCGCTTGGGACAGACCTGGTCGTGGCCTAATACAGAAAATAGTGTTTTAAATAATTTCCATTTGTTCTTAATTTCATCAATTTCAGCTAACTAAATCATGTGAGCGATACAGTCACTATGGGCCTCTTCTTTAAAACTCTTATGTCATTTCTTGTTTTCTACAGGATCTGGAGGCATGTATACTAGATGGGGTAGAAGTTCCTGTCCATCAAACTCCTCCCAACTGGTTTATGAAGGTAACTTCACCATTTACTTTACATGGAAATCACCAAATTGATGTGTTTTAAATTCAACAACTCTAAGCGAAGCAATAATACAATAGAAGAGATTGGAAAAGAGAAATTGTTTTTGTGCAATCATAATTATCAAAGTATAGACTAAAGGGGTCGGAAATCAATACTTGCGCGTGTTATACACCTATCCTTCATACTGGTAATCGTATTTTGTTTTAAAGATTTTGCTAATCGGAATAACATTTCGAGCAAGGATTAGTTGTGTGATATGTCTGTGTGTCCAGGTTATGCCGGAGGTTCCCATTACACCGACCAGGGCGCAGCGGCAGAATATGTATGTATGCCCAGAAACCCGGTGTACGAGTACACTGACTATCATGACTACGATGGTTACATCTACGGAGCTGAATATGAAAGTACTTTTTTCGGCGCTACAAGAGTGTCTGATGATGTGCCGTGTGCAGTATGCAGATCTTTTAGTCCTTCCGTCCTCATGATTCCAGGAACAAACACTTGCCCTACTGATTGGGGTATGGAATACCACGGAATTCTGGCATCCGGCTATCGTGGACATGCTGCTGCTTCTCAGTATGTTTGTTTGGATGGAAGTCCTGAAGCTCTTCCACATGGAATACGGAAAGAAGATGGGAAGCTTTTCTATCGCGTTCGAAGTAAATGTGGGAGTCTCCCTTGTCCTCCATACATTGACGGTAGCATTTTGTCATGTGTAGTCTGCTCGAAATAAACCATGTACATATCTATTAATATCTTGCTTTATTGTTTAACTGGGAGTTGTCCCTGAATAGCCCTCGATGTTAATTGAATGCAAAATGTCGCTGTTCGAATATCATTAAGGATGTTATAGTTTTTAGTATTTCCGGGCTTTGAAATCGTTAGGCATTTGTGTCATATTGTGTGGAAATAGGTACACGGTACATGCATGCCGTAGCAGAGCACAGACTGCCATAGATTTACGAAATGACCTCAGTGCTTCTTATGTCCGATAACCACTCAGTTATGATTCGTCTACATAATGCTTGTTAAATATCTTAACTGCCCGACGTGCTTGGGACCAATTACATTTCCCAAGATGAATGATTGAACGTATCTTTGACAACCTTGGCAAGTACACCCAACATATATATTACAAGAGATCCCAGCGGAGTATCATATTGGCGCACCCTTTCTTTTTTATAAAGACGGATCTTTCTCTGCTGTCCTCTGTTTTCCTCTTAAGATTAAAAAAAAATCCTAATTATATAAAATTCGAAAGTCTCTCTGAAGAAACAGCGATAATAATCACATCTAAGATGATGGACAAAGTCAAAAGTGCCGACTATGTACCGATAGTCACCTACATACGGAATTTAAGACATACCAACCATGTACTTCAAGATATGTCCAAGATGGTTGCCTGTTGGTCATTTTGTTCTTTTTCTGTTCCGTCCAAAAATCAAAAGTTAAAATAGAGCCATTGGGTTTGTTCAGATGAAAAAGCAAGATCCATCTATTACTACTTAAGTGAGCGATAATATTTCATTTTCAAATCCAAGATGGCCGCCGTGCGGCGATCTTGATTCGCAGGTCAGTTCAAAAATAGACTGTGACCGACAAGGGACTATGGTGAGCATACATAAGAACTTTGATCCATCAACTGCTTCTCTAGAAATGTTGGCAGACCACAGACATAGGGCGATTCGAATGGCAAGGCCTCTTGTCTTATATATTTTTGCTTAATGTGTTTTATCCTTTTCTTGTGAGCTCTAAGGCTTACTTTTGACTAGACAGTATTCAGTTTTCAATAGCTATATTTCAGTATCTAAATACAAATTCTTTGTGAATAATTTGATTTTCATATCTCACTTATACATTCTTTATTAACATTCCTCGTTGAAGGTTGTGACAGTTTATTATTGGTATAGGTTTTCAAGCGTTCACTTATTTTATGAAGTGGAAACAAAGGGAGTAGTTCTAGCCTAATCGGAAGCTACTGAGGAGATCCACTGCGAGAACTTTCGTTTTGGAAGAATGTGGAATGCTTTCAAAAATACAGATATAAGGTGGTTGGTGGTAACACATTCGCCTTTCACCTAGCTGTCCGCGGTTCGATTCCCGGATTGGACGTGGAAAGTATTGGTCACCTGCCAGACCATGCGGGTTTTCTACAGGTACTCTGGTTTCCCCTACAGAAAGACCCCTAACGTTCTTCCATCCAGGCCAATAAGAGTAATTAATATCAGTTTGTTTTATGTTTGGAAGACATTTTACAACCTTTTCTGGCCCCAATTATCTTTTCTGTGTTGATGGGACATTAAGATATATATGACAGCGTAACTAAAAGATATACACATATCATTATGACACAGATTCAATATCACATTTTGGTTGTGCAGTAAAAAATTGTTCACACAACTGTCTAAGGAAGCCGGTCCCTCGCCGTATTTTCTGCTATGAGGTAGAGACCCTGTCCGAATCAAACACTCACCGTTACATGAAATTACAGCTTTCTCATTTAATATAACCCCATTTTACTTGTCAGTTTTCCATCCTTCTCATCACAGAACAGATGTACAGTGTAAATTAAACCAACAGAACATGAAGATTACTCACTTAATATATCACATCAATATTAAGTATGAATTATCATGAAACAAAGTAAATGAAACCTACACCTGGTCCGGATTTCCCATCAAGTTTGCGTAACGTGTTTGAAAAGTGCAAGAAACCTGTACACAACAAGTGTTTGATGGCTGCAGCGATGGCTGTGTCTGTGCCTCATATTGAACGATTAGTGGATTGGGTGCGGAGCAACGTCTGGCATCAACAAATTATCTCAGCAAACGGGAAGTAGGTTTCAATCTTTGTTTATTTTGATCGCTGCACGGACTTCAATAGGTCTGTAATCACGAGGTAAACAGGAAACAGAAAACAATAAAATGTACACACGGAAAGATTAGAACAGCAAAACAAAAACAACTGCTAATTGTTAAACAGGAAAAGATTTAAGGTCGTTTTATAAGATCTCGGGCAAGACGGCAGGAGGAAGAGGAAAAATCTACCAAATATTTTCTCAATTAAGAATTGAGAACTTTTAAGTAAAAAATTATTAAATGATAATAGAGTCACATTGATACAGCAAAATGGCATTCTTCAGTAATGGTGACAGTAATGAATTAAAATATTTTAACTTAAATGATTTATCAAATAGTTGCAAACTTATTTATAATGTTTCTAGGAGTTTAGAGGGGAAAATTACTATGGACGAAGAAGCAGATACTTTGAAAAAAAAAACAAGAAAAATAAAAAAAAAACACACAAACAAAAAAAACTGGTACAGATGGTTTCAGTGTGGAATTCTTTAAATTCGTTTGGAGAAAATTAGTGGGGTTCATTGTAAGATCAATCCATTTTGGCTATGAGACAGGTAAGTTATCTATAACACAGTGACTGGGGGTCAAGACATTTCCTTAAAGAATTGCGCCCAATTGAATATCATATACGAAATTGCATCAGGACCTATAGCAGAAAGAATAAGGAAAGTTTTGGATATTTTAATGGGAGAGGATCCGTCAGGTTTAATTTCGCTACATTGGTAAGAATATAAGTGTATGATATAAAGCAGTATAAAGCATGCAGAGCATTTGACTCTGTTTCTCGGAAATTTATTGATAAAGTTGTTTTTTTTTTTAAATATTTCAATTTTGGATCTGATATAAGAAATTGGATAAAAACACATCATGATAATGTTAGTGCAGTTGTAAATCAAGGTGGAAGCTTGTCTTTATTCTTCAATATAATCAGAAGAGGCTGTCGTCAACGCGATCCTATATATCTTTATTCTTTGGGCAGAGATTTTTGCCATTCGACTAAAAATGATAAATTGAGGCGATAGATGTCAGTAACACTCAAATTGTAATCTCTCAATATACTGATGACACTTATATTAGATAGTTCAGAAAAACCATTGAAATAATCAATTGTAAAATTAATTGCTTTTGCAAAATTCTCCGGTTTGAAATTAAATATTGACAAAACACAGGTGGTTTGCATCGGGAGTAAAACTATAATGAGGACACTTTGTTGAAATTACAGTGGGGGAAAAGTTAAGTTTACATTTCTCAAAGTTGAAATCAGTGTTTATTTACATGAAATTCCAAAATTAAACTTTGACAAGAAATTAATTTAATTAACATATATTGTAAAAACTCTCTCCTATGGGGAAAATTCATCTCAATAAATCTTTAATGAAATCCCAATTCAATCAATTATTTATTGCATTGCCAACTCCTGAAGTTAATTTCATTATCAAACTGAAATCAATTTTTTCACATTCTATAGAAAAATAAAACTGATAAAATAAAGAAATATATTGTTATTCAGAATTATTGTGATGGAGGGCTCAAAATGGTTGGGGCATTTATTGTTTCTTTGAAACTGGGATGGGTAAGAAGATTGTTTCAGAAAGTAATTAAATGGCAGGTAATTCTTGAAACTTGCACAGATCTACATATGTTATCTAACTGCAGGAGTGAATATATTAAAAATGTCATAGTGGGAATAACAATAAACTTTAGAAGGACGTTTTTGCAGCCTGGATATGATTTAATGACAGGTTCAGGACAGATATTTAAAAAAATAATATTCGGGAAATTGGTTCATTAATGATTTGATGGTAAGGAAATAGTTACATTCTTTGAAGCATGGTTTGATAGAGGGGTGACATACAAAAAGGTTTCGTTTTTTGCACTTTTAATACATTTCAAGAATTTAGTCAAACCTTACACATTAGTGCAAACTTTCTCCAATATCATGGAGTAGTAACTTCTTTTAAAGCATATTTAGCAAAACAGATTTTCCATGTTGGCTCAAAATCTTTTCCATCCATTCCTAATAATATTAAGTATTTCTTAAGAAAGAAGAACGGTACTGAAGATTTATACAATCATATGGTTAAAAAATTAACACCCAAAGGTAGAAAAAATGAGAAGTCTTATTAGTACTAAATGGCTTGAATTTGGAAACTATTTATAAAAAAAAAAACTGTTTTAGAGCGTCATATGGATTTAGTACAGAATTTTGCATTATACATTAACTACTAATTCATTCATGTGTAAAGTAGGATTATTGGATAATCCAAACTGTTCATTTTGTAATTTAGAAAGAAAGAAAATCGTTCATATTATGTAGGAATGTCCTGGAATACAAAAAAAATAAGAAGTATTGAATATACGTTAGATGTACTTCTCATCCCATTCTCGATCAATAAATTAAGGTTATTTTTTATTATTCTGTGGATCATGAACATCATAGTACTAGATACAGCCTTAATAATCATCAAATTTTAGATATATAGAACCAGATGTGAACACAAAGTGTTAAGTCAAAATGCCCTGATTAACTACACGAAGGAATCTTATGCCTTTCAGAAATATTTAGCCAAAAGTAAAAGCGGTAATGGAATGAGATATTTACTTTTTTTTATTCATTAATCATCATCTTGACCCTGAAGTATTTTTCATTTTTTTCATTTTTTATTGTCATCTCTCTCTCTCTCTCTCTCTCTCTCTCTCTCTCTCTCTCTCTCTCTCTCTCTCTCTCTCTCTCTCTCTCTCTCTCTCTCTTTTCAATACAAATGCAATTTACAGCAGTTAATAAAAAATAGACAAACGTATTTGAAGACGGGCACTGTTGGAATCGCTCATCTCATATAGTTTAACCTGATGCGTAGAATATTACGGAAATTCC